TTGCCTAAAATAAAACTATTACAATGCATATGTGTTAATCCAAATTAATATATGGAGCTCCTAACAATATAGGAACTAGGAAGGCCACACAAAGTGGTTTCAAGTTAGGGACAACCATCACGTTAGATTTGGATTATCTTCATATTTTTTGTAATACATCTCTCCAATATTCAGAGGGGCGTTAGGTTATATTCAATAGTTTGCAGCATGGTTACCAACCTAAAACACAATTTTGCACATCTATATCTCCCAATTCAATTATATCTTTTCTTTATATGTGTGTTCATGTGAGGCTATGTGAGGCAAATAATGGGGAATCCTAGATAAGAAAATCAGTAGTCCTCCACTCTTAAATGTTGGAACTAGTTATAGTTGATTTTATTATTAAATATAATATCTCAATCCACTTTTTATCTCGCATTGATCGTTTTGTTCCAATCTTATTTATTTAACTTATAAACTCATATACTCACTCATCTAGCCTTATTTATAAAGTAGAGAGAAAAGGTTTTTCTTAGTTCTATTTGTAAGTCACTTTATTAAATTTTTAACATGAATGTGCTATTTTGTTCTTCATTTATTTTAGTAGAGATAGCTCTTTTAAAATGTGTATATATTAAATAGGGATAAAGTTAAAAAATTATTATATTTTAATAGAAAGTTAATGTTGTTTAACGTTTATTTTCATCTGTGTGAAATATGCTAAAAATACCTTATAAATAGAACCAGAAGAGTATAATCTAATCTTATATGGGATTGTTATAGTGATATCAGGTCACATTTGTTAGACTAAATAATTTATTGGGAAAAACTCTTTAAAAAACACTTAAATAACCCAAATTGTTATTTGGTCACTAAATTTGTTAAACTTCTAATTAAGTCACATGACCCGAAAAACTATTTTAAATTTTATGAAATGACTCTAATGTCCTTTTCATTAGGAAAAAAAGGAATTCTAAATTAACATATTCCATCTTATAGTTAACACGTTTCAATTCTAAATTAACAACTTTCTATTTTTGTAATACAAGTGCAGTAAGTTTTTTTAATAAAATTTGATCACAATGCAATCTTAAAAATTAGTAAATTTGATAATGTAATTAACAAGTTTTAGTTCTAAATTAACAACTTTATGTCTTTATAACACACTTGTAATAAGTCTTTGAATAAAGCTTTATCATAATATAACCTTAAAAATTAATATGTTTTATTTTGTAGCTAACACATTTGAATTCTAAATTAACAACTTTCTGCTTCCGCAACAAATTTGTAGTAAGTATTTTAAAAAAAAAAACTAGATCACAATATAACTTTAAAAATTAATAAGTTCAATTACGTATTTAACAAGTTTTATTTTTAAATTAACAACTCTTATTTTCAGCCCATGAAGATATCATTACTCTCATTTCTTTAAGTGTCATCCCGTCTCTTACGCTTTTTATCCCAACACTCCCTCTATTATATTGACTTTGGCCTTCAAAATTCTTGACAAACTGGCCACCAACATGAATAAAATAAATAATAATAATAATAATAATAATAATAATAATAATAATAATAATAATAATAATAATAATAATAATAATAATAGTTCTTTTGCTATTGTTTACCCTGAAGTGAGTGTCATTTCTTATTTTTCCCAACCTATAACAAACAAGTTACTACTCACTATAAAATTTATTCCTAGCCATGATCATTATCAAATTTTTCAATCAATCAAACAAAATCTAGCTTCCAAGGATTTTAACTGGTTCCACTCAGTTATTAACAACAAATGTGCCCTCATAACCATGATTGTTATCATTTTTCACAATCAACATCACACAACCTACTTTCAAAATTTTACAACTTCAAATTAAGTTTTAACATGTTCCACTTAGCTATATATTGACAAAAAACGTGTCCTAATCACTTCTAACAGAATTCAACTTCAAGTTTTAACAACTTTAAATCATGTTTTAACACATTCTACTTAGTTAGTAACAACACACGTAACCCTCAATCCTCATAGCATTCTACATACCGAACCTTCATGACCAAGCAAACGCAATCAGTTATCTTACATACACGTGTTGTAAACCCTACATCACACTCGCACTCACACACGCCCACACACACATATATATTGATCTCTTAGCTCACCTTAACAGCAACACTCCATGCTCTCGTTTATCTATTTTCATGAGGCACTTCTCATTGTGCTGCAACTTTTTCTCCCTCCCCAACAAAACCCGTCACCCACAATCCATGCTAAGAAAAATGAAGAAACAAGATAGCATGATGAAACTATTATGAATATAGGAGAAAGATTTAATATAAAAACTAACTATTGTAATAGTAGACACCAAGTTTTTCACATTTGAAACTTCTACGCAACACAAGAATCATATATAGAAAATTCTCATCTCTCTAGGTTTTCAATGAAAGGTGCATTAGAGTCATTTTATGAAATTTTAAAATCCTTCTTTGAGTCATGTGACCTTATGAGGAGTTTGAAAGATTCAGTGACCCAAATAAAAATTTGACTTATCTAAATATCTTTTTAAAGGATTTTTCCTAATTTATTTAGCTTTTTTATTTCACCCAAACTAACTTGTAAGTTTTAAGGAGCAGAGGAGTAACTAATAACTCTCATGAAGGTACGTGGTTACTAATTAATAGATCCCTTGACTTCTGCCAAAAAAATACATATAATTCGTAAATTATATTCTTTATTTTGACCGGGAAATATTGAAGGAAGACTTGTAAATCACCACATGATTAAAAAAAAAAGTTCTCACGTCCTTCTCCAATACTTGCGATTGCAAGTCAAAACAAGAAATTTACTACCTATCCTACTGTGTGATTTTTGCATAAATTGTTAAGGGACCTATTAATAATAACTCAATTTAAGAGAATCTATTAGTAGTTGATATCCTTGTTTGAGACTCATCTATAATTTTCACTTCTTTCATTTGCGTGTGTCAAATTGAGAAATTTGCACAAGCTGCCAACAGGAGCTACTTCATTTTTATATGGGTGTTTGTGTTTCATTTAGGACATGTAGTGCGGATTTAGCATTTCAGAGTGGGAGAAATAAGTTATTCATATCTAGTTTCAAAACTCTATTCAAAGCGGAATTCATACAATTAATGTAAAAATTAGACAATTAATTTGAGAAGATTAAAAAAAATTAATTAAATTTATTATTTTTAACAAATATATATTTACTTTCCTTAATTGCACTCTCTAATTATGCGTATTGAAAGAACTATTTGATAAAAATTTCTTACAATAAATAAGAACATTTTAAGAAAAAACTATAAATTTATGAGACAAAATGAATTGCGATCTTTTATTTAAGACTAAATTCAATTCTCAAGAGAAAATATTATTTACTAAGTTATATTGTTAGTTAACTTGCCTCAATAAACATATAATGAAATATAAAATTTGGAGGGAAAAAATTAATTTGACAGTCCTTATGATTTTAACAAATTTTTAATTAGATCTTTATATTTTTTTTTCCACCTTTTTATCCAATCCTTATTGGTTGCTCAATTTTAGAATCACTCCTTCCATTGGATATGCCGTTAGATTAAGCTGACAGAAAGTGACGTGGTCTTGAATAATATTTGACAAAATTCACGCACCACTCCTCCCTCGACTTTTCTCCCTCCCCCTCCCATTGTCGCAAACATCATTATCTCTCTCACACAATTATTTCCCTCTCTCCACCATCATCGTTATCTCTTGCAGAAGCTTCACTCTGTATTTTAGATTAGTCATTTCCTTATCTCTCCTCCTCCATTGTTGCTAATCTTAGCTAAACAGGACTCAGCGATTCTCCATAAAACAGAGTTGTGATGGTGACTGATAGCTTTCAACCGGTACTTAATCTTCAACTGGACCACCTCCTCCATTTTTCTGGACTTGACAGAAGGTCGGCTTTCCACTCCGACATGGTACATAGCCTCATCGAGGATCAATTTTCCCACGAGGGTGTAAATCTTGACGCACTTTTTCTCATAACTAGCACAAATCATGCATTCCGCAATTCTTTCTCATGGTAGTATTTGCCTTCTGCGACGAAAAAAAGAGGCGATTTTGGCATAAGGACATTGGTTAATGAAGGAGCGAGCGATCTCAATGTTCTCTTCCATCAATGAGAGAGAATGTCGAAAGTGGGGAGGAAAGTGGGGTGGATAGCGAAGATAGTGGTGCAAAAGAGAGGAGAGAAGATTTGAAGATGATGTTTCTCATTCCTTTAACGAAAATGTGAGAGAATTAGCCTCAAACCCATTTCTTAGTCTGAGTTAATGATTAAGAGATTCAACCATAGAAGAGAGAGAAGACTTGGTTTGAGAAGAGAATACGACGATGGTGGGAGGGGGGGAGCATGAGCACTGTGAGAGAGTTTGAAGGAGGGCGAGTGGAGGGAGGGACGGAGTTGTGCGTGGGCTTTCAGATACAGTTAACTAACGGGATTTGTAACGGAAGGGCTGATTCTAAAATTGAGCAAACAATAAGGATTGGACTAAAATTGAGCAAATGGAAAAATTAGATTGTCAATCCTTGTAGTTTCACCAAATTTTAAATTAGATCCTTGTATACATTATTTTTAAAAAAAATAACAATCTACACAATACAAATTAAGGGTAGTACAATCATACAAAAAAAAATTTAATGAGACCCCTAGATAGGACCAAAAAAATATCTCTTTGCTTTATAAATATGATCAAAGAAGCACATGGATTCATAAGAGCCAATGCTGGTAGGCACAGCATAAAAAATAAAAAAAAGATCCATAATAACTTTGTTGATAAGTATGGCGTAAACAACGCCGCTAATAAGTTAAATAGGTAGTTTGCTTGAATTTCTGAAAATGGAATGCCTCATTCAATCCTTAAACCCATAGGATTTAAGATTAAGGGGAACTCATATTTTTAATACAAGGGTTAGTGGTAGTTTGTTTCATCTGGATTGAAAACCATGCATTCAACAACTCAACACTCCAACAATGCAGCAGCAGAACACGGTAAGCCCGATTTAACTTCCAGAAACGTGAATACACAGTCTATTTTTAAGAGAGTGTGTCATACAACTCAGAATACTCTAATTTAAAGATCATAAAGCTCGCAGGCTTAGTAAACTTCAGCTAGCACAAACCAACTCCATATTCAAGTCTGAAGATTAAGATTACCACGTCTTAAAGATGCAAAGACAAGAAGAACATGCCAGAACTCACTCTACACGACGACGCTTGTTCTTTATGTCATCAAAAAACTGGTGAATATCAGCAGCAGTGATTGGCTTTGACGAGTCTGCAGAGTCCTGTCATGGTATATAAAACAATAGTTAATAAAACAAGGCCATGCACCCTTCTCTCACCTCCACAATTCTGAACAAATGGTAAAAGCACTAAATAAAAATGCTTTGCCATAGATATTGTACCAGAAAAGCACGAAGCCCGTCCTTCATTTCCTCAATGCCCTTCAAGATCTCAACTTTCTCTACGTGCCCAAGTTTATTGAAAAAATTCAACTCAGCACCCTCCTGCTGCTGCAACTTTTCTTCCCTCTTTTGCTTTCCTATTTTCTCATACTCCACAATTGAGTCTTCTTTGTCTGCCAGAAAAGCAATCTTCTTCTGATTGTAATACTCCAGACACTTCTCACATTTGCATAAAGCATCTCTCCAATTTTTACAAAGGAACATTGGTTTACTATCTGTACTTGGAGGAGCATCAGCAATGTCAACACCAAGGACACAATTGGTATGCAGATTGTTGTCTTTAGTGCCTGGATTTAAATCTGCACTGATAGCACAATTTTCTCTCTGAAGTGGATCCTTCCCTCCAGCGACAGATTCAGAATCAGCTTTAACTTTTGAATCCTCAATTTCAGGGGCTTTAACTTCTGAATCCCCAGTTTCATGGGCTTTAACTTTTAAATCCTCAGTTTCAGGGGAACTATGAGAGCAGGCATCACTTGTTGATTTTTCAGATCCGCGAGTTGAAGGCATACCTTCTGACGCAACTTTACCCTCATTACCTTTAATATCAGCATCTTGCTGCTTTCCTGCAGCCCATATTGCTTCAGGATACAATCTTAAAAAGGAACATACTTCAGAGCAGGCTCTACATATGAAGTCCTCATACAGAGGCTCTCCTTCATCATCTCTTGGTATCTGAGAAATAGCACGAGCAACAGAAAATTAAACAAGGTAACATTAAGGACGTCCCTATTAGAAATTTCAAAGTTGATTACATGGAGATACAGAACAACTTAAATCAAATATATAACTATCATCATCGTAGGAGAAAATAAGTTACCCCATCACATAAAGCTTTATGATTGCACCTGACAACAAATGCACTGTCCGCTCTCATAAATTTGATCCACAATTAAGAAAAAAACATTAATATGCAGCAGGTGCACGCGTGTTTAGAGGATAACAAAAAATGTCCAGTCAGTAATGCTTTTACCACCTTGACATTAGCTTCAAGTGAGAACTGAAGGAGAACATGTCAAATCAAACACAAAAAGATGCCAAGACAAGAAACCCATCTTAAGATGCATGAGGTACTTAAACTAACCAAAACTAACGTCTTGAGGAGCATAATGATTAACGTTTAGGATATTAGAAGAGGTAGAACAGAGCCACATAAAGGTGTGCCAAGGAAAGCATTTTATTACAGAATACATAAAATTGTGAAAAAAAGAAAAAAAGGTAAAGGGAAGAAATAAACAACCGTCAACATCATCAAAAGCCAACAATAAACCAAGAATAGCTCAAACAATACTTGCTCAAATGGACGAGGGACCATTAGAGGCAAGATTTTGAGCAAACCTAACGTGCCAATGACAAATTATTTTGAGTTTATTAAATTATCTACAAGCTCAGACTAACTCAATTCAAAAGATCCACTTTAAGTGATTCCTGTAAGATCCTGAGCCCAAATAAAATTTGTTCCAGGCCAAGTGATAGTTGCCACTAATTTTCCACTCAGCAGCAGGAGATTTAGCATTATTTAAAAAAAAGAAAAAGAAAAAAAAAGGAAAAAAAAGGGGAAAAAAAAAAAGCCAAGAATCTTCAACTTCATATTCTATGTAGCATAAGCTGAATCGGCAGGAATCTATGAAGTTATCTATGATTGTAATCAAGGACTTGGCAAAAAATAACCCAAGCCCCAGCAAGCTAACTCAAAAGACCTACAACAAGAAGAAGAAGAAGAAGCCTTATCCCACTAGGTAGGGTCAGCTACACGGATCACATTGTGCTCTATCAACAATCAAATCTTAGATTGGTTGTTAACTAAAGGATCTCGTTCAATAATCTCATTAAGCGTTCTCCTTGGCTCAAAAGACCTATAACTGATTAGCTAAAATTCAAACTACATTGAAAGCCCCAGCCGAGACTGACACAAAAGAAAAAGATCTAAAATGGTTAACAGAAGAACAGAGACCTCGCTCCAAGATACCAACCTCATCAGAAGACTCTAGGCCAAGATGCTCCTCATGAAACCAATCCTCGCATAAACAGCACTGGATCATCTCTTCTTGTTCTACAGCATCTGGATCCGGATAAGGCCGACCACAGGTGCAATATGAACCTTTGAAGTTGTGATTGTATGCATTCTCAACATTTTCAACATCCTTGTTGGCAAAAAGCTTGCAATAGAACTCCCCAAACTTCGAATTTCCACAATCACACCTGAAGTTTCTTTTTGTCCACAGTTCCACGACCTTAGCTCAAAAGCAGTAATGAAAACCAGAAACCATTCAATCTTGTATTGAACAGGTAAAAACAACAGTATAAAGGAAACAATAGAAAATTATTTTAAACAAATGATGACAACAAAATTTATATCTTAAGAGAAATGCATAATAGTTCAGATTTGTTTTGGAAATCCCTCTATACTTTGGGTTCAGTACAAACAGCATAATGTGATGTCAGTGTCCCATTCTAATTGTCAAAAGGAGAGGTATGCAAAATCACATCTTTAATCAGTTCAGTTGACCACCATTCTGCTGTCCTTATGGTAGAAAAAACTTACCTGATGGCCATCATGGCAAGCCAATGAGCAAGCAGTGCAAACTCCAGCATTCCCATCGGGGGTGCAGGTGAGACAAGAGAAAATTGCTTGCCTTTTCATATAGCCACTGTTATAGGTACACTCCTTGCCATCATCGCCCCCTAGAACTAAATCAGCTTCCTAAGAGAAGAATTTAAGTATTTGAGTTAGAAAAAAAAATGGTACTATAAACACATTCAATTCAAGAACAAAGATGAATATAGAAAACATGAGATGAAATAAGCTAGCATTTTAAAAAGATCAGCTTAAGCATAATCATAATTTCTTATAAATAAGAAAGACAAGCCTCTATCTATCTATGCAAAGTGCACAAAATAAGAGGGTGACTATTCACATTTGGATGAGTACAAGTCAATATATGGTAAACGTCACGCAGCAAAATACTATTGGTCCCAAACACATTGAAAAAATGCTCAAGAAAAAGAGATCAAACTCATAATAGATGAAGAAAAATTTATTACTTTTTCAGGCTTCAAGGCTCAGAATCTCAAAGTACTACAAAACAGATTATTTATGTGAGACTTCAAAAAGAATGATTTCTCATCAAACAAGTGCACATTAAGTGCTTTTCATACACTTAAGTTTGGTAGCATAGTTATGCATTTCTAAAATCCCGCACAATAACTCATAGCTGTCATTTTAAGTATATTAAGCACAGGGAAAAATTATAAATCCAGCATAATTGAGAAAAGTGGTCTTTCACTTTGTGAGATTATTTAGAAAGCTAGTGATACACATTTAAACAAGTATTCTTTAACTTGTAATTTCAATAGTTTTTTTAATCACTATTATTATGCAAAAGTCCAAATGTTACCATTGTTTATGCTAATTTTCCTGACACACACATATATATAGCTTATCCATAACATTTTGCCTTTACCTTAATGCTTTTCTTCACTTGGACAAACACTTTTCCAGCGTTTCTAGCTCAAGGGCATCACGTAAGCCAAGGTACTGTCACAAATGGGCCTACAATTACTAACTCAGACTGTAAGACCAGAACTAATGGGCTGAATGGACCTAGGAGATGTGGAGTGGATTAAGGAAGAAATAGGGCTAAATAGAAATATGAAGAGGGTTATGGAGTGAAGAATTTTGCTGAAGTTGTCTACCCTCTCAGACGTCTATCTTCTTTCCTGTGGCCATTGTCACTGACCCATTGCGGTGGTACATTTTCTTTTCTTCTCTCTTATTATTATACTTTCCTATTTCTATTATGCTGGAGCTTTATGGCTTTTTCTTCTCTATCTGATACTGCAGCTACTCTGTGACTGAACCTTACTGCTATTAATATTAGATTGGATGTTTAAGTCTTCGGTTTGAGTTAAGTTTATAGTCATATAATTAGTTGATGGGTGTGATCATTACAGGCACCTCCTGCATTTGACTACCTTGAATAAATCTCAGTCTGCTCCTAAATCATTCTGATTTTTTCATCTTTAAATTCATATTGCACATAAGAATTCATGAAATGAAGCAGAACTCAAGTCTAGCATCATCTAGCAAACATATTTTGAAGCCTAGCAATGTTTTCAACTATGAAGAGCTATTGCGTTTCACTTCAATTGAGATTCGCCTTATCCTCTGTCTCTAGCATTACCCACCACCAATTGAAGAAAATCGTGCACTAAACCATTATTCATGGAGCTATTCGTTTTAAACCAATAGTATAGTAACAGTTTTGTCGATCAAATAAAGCTGCGAGCAATTAAATGGATGACTGCCAACGCCAGTAATAGAAATTCACAATCACTTGCACAGGCAGGAAAATGAAGTAAAAGTGTGAAGAAAAAATAGACTCACAAGCTCCCGGTCCTCAACTTCCTTAAGATATTCGTGGATTGTAACTGACTGCTCAGCTTCATCATCAAAGGCATCGGTCATTTTTATAAAATATTTGCGACTAGAAAAACTCTACTGATTTCGGAGGTCTCTACCTTGTTCCTAACATATAATAAGAAATCGAGTAATTAATGAAGCATCAATGGCATAAATTTATTTCTCCATGGATTTACATGGATCCCCGGAAAAGAAAACCCTAGGTTCTACGAAAACTAATGCGAATTTCCAAACAAAAAATATGGAAATTTACAAAACCCACAAAAAAAAATTTATCGAACCTAATTTTGAGAGACAGGATTGTTAGGAAACTCAATGTTCCACTAGATTGTTCAACCAATCAACATTGAAGCTGCAGAATTACGTAGACCGATTGCACGGGAGAGAGCGCGGACGAAGTAGAGAAATGAGTTAGGGTTTTATATATGCCAAGGACTATCTGGACATTTTCCCGCCATGTCATGGGATCAGCGTCATGAGTTCTAATCCTCAAGGGCAGGTTTGTTAGTGAGAACGAAGGAGTTTTTGGAAACACCTCTGTATATTTATTTTGTATATCGTTAAAGTATTTTTAAAATTATAGTTTTGATTTTATCTAAACACCTCCTCAGTTTGTTAGTAAGAATTAATTTTGGAGTGTTTGAAATAGCTTATAAATAATTTTTTTATTATAATTTTACAGAATACGAGATAAGTATATGAGAGGATTTCTGTCTTGATTTACATAAAACGTGCTTATAAATGTTTTTAAATGTTACCCCAAGTAAGGCCTTTGATGAAAAGTGAAGGAATTGAAGAAAAGAGAAACTTTCAATAAAATACCATTTAAAATTTGATTAAGGTACAGATTTGTTTTGAAAATTTTTACTTAGGAATGCTGGGTACTTGAAATTTTTTTATAAGCAAACTTATCTCAAAAGTTTAAAATCGTTGTAATACTACCTTATATTGTTAAAAAAGTATTAAAAGTCAACGTTGCTATTTTAATAGTTAATATTAGTTTTTTAACAATCAGGACAATTTCAATATGATTTAAACTTTTGGGGCAAACTTACACCTAAAAAGAACTTCTGGGTACTCAACACTCCTGTGTGAAAACTCCCAAGACAAATTTACACATGAACCCTTTAAAATTTGAAACAAGTCATCTCAATAGGCAAAATTTCCTTTTATCTTAGGTTATTGTTTCAACTTCTTAGAAGTATTTTCATGCAAGTCGAAGCAAAATTCTTCTTACATATTTCATACATTGTAAAATTACTTCTTGAAACATCCTTCCTCTAACTTCTCAGAGTACGTGTCTGGAAGTGTTACGGTTCAAGTGATTCACTAACTAAGCCTGTAGATTGAACTTTGTGATTGGTTCTCGGGTTAATGTTCACTAGTTAAATTCCAGATTTTCTGTCTAACTTTGAGCAATCATAACTCTTAGCACACACCATCCGTTTTAAGTGATCTACTACTTGTTTTAAAGCTCAGGTTGTGTACTTTAATCATGCCAAATTTTATGGGCAAAGTTAGTCATTTGTCATACCTCTACTCTATCACTATTTTGTTGCTCAATTAGGGATAGCTTATCCCCTAACTTGTACTACCAGTTCATGATTAGGACTTTCCATAGGTAATAACATTCCATTCATACACTAACCATTCCCATACATTATCATAGCTAATTATACAACCCAACATTATCATTTATTATCACATACCATCAATGGCACATTTACAACATATATTGGTATATACCATGTACAACGTAATACAACAAATTTCTCAAATCTTTTCTTCTTTCCTTGTTTCCACTTCATGTATCCTTCGCTTGATTATATCATCTATTATGGTTGGTTAAGGGAGGGTGAGATTCAGGAGAATCTCAATAGCAAACATTACCATTTATGCATGCAAAATGGATACAAGTGTATGACATGCTTTTGTGCACATAACTTTATCATTCATGCATAGTGAAATGCCATGGAAAGTAAGCCAATTCATTTATATTCACATAACATAATGCCAAGACATGCTTAACTAAACATAGCAATCATAATTCAGCAGCATAGCTTAGTCATATCATGGCATTCATAGCACATACACACACACATCAAGCACACAAGAAAGATAAGTTCGCTACCTTGTATTCTTACACTTTCTTCTTGCTCCCTTTTGCTTCCAACTATTAAGGTTGCTTGCTCAACCTTTGCTATCCATTTTTCTTGATGTCTCATAGCCCTAAATATATCAACACATCATTTCCATTTATTTATTAGAAACATGGTAATCAACAACATTAATACTTTGTTTTCTTTAAGCTATATTAGCTTCTAACTTTTAAGCTTGATTTTCAATCTTTCTAAAATTAATTCCACATACTATTCCCACACAATTTTGCATGTAGAATCTATATCCAAGTTCAAAATAATCAAAATTAAACTCCTCCCTACTGAACTTGATCTGGCCGAACATAGGGTCCTAGGGCTCAACATTCCACTTTCAATTATGATACTTCTAAACTTGTTTTCTCACCTTTACCCCACATAATTTTTTATTTTGAACACATTGGAAGCATCAAAATCCAATCCTAACCCCAAGAATATTACTCAAATTACATAATTATGAAATTCAACCAATTTCAGCATAAGACCACTTGATTCGTGTTCTTTTCAAGGCTTTGAACATTATTCTAATATCAATTTCATCTTCCTCTTAACTTAAGAATTTCGTGCAGCATAACCCCACAGGGTTTCAAGCTCCCAAAAATCCTTAAAATCCATAACTAAGCTCAACAACAACAATGTGAGTGAAAACTACATCAAAAACCATGAACACACCTTGTTTTGGAGTTGGATCTTGCATATGACCACTTGACCTTTCTTTCTCTCTCTAGAAACCATTTTGCTAGAGCTTCCCCAAGGTTTCCATGATGTTGGACGAAAATGAGGGGTGGGGGGTATTTATAGAAAACAAGACTGAATTTGGGCCATTGATCTTAAAAATGTGTGGCTTGATCTGGACCGTCCATTTTCTCTTTTAATCTTGTGGTGACAAGTGTCTCATGACATCATGCTTACATCATCTTGATAACATCATGCTTACATCATTAATCCACATGCTTTTAATCTGACTGTACACGTGTCTTGCATTCGACCGTACACTTGTATTGCATCCAGCCGTACATGTAATACATTCTTTTCCCATCTAATCATACACATGTCTCCTCCATATTCCTTCATCATTAAGGCATTAAAATAAGAAGGAAATTAATATAAAATTCGTGCAAAATACAACCCGTAGGTATTCCTCCACCTATCTTGTCATTCTGCACCGTATAATGTACTTTTTAAGGCCCTGACTTACCCAGGACCACTGAGACATATTATGGCACCATTTTATCACCTCAAATAAATCCACATAGCATTATATAACATGTCCAAAGAGAGAGTGATGCTCTTCCCTTGTTCTTCCATTAAAATAATTAAAATGATTAATAATATCTATTTCGGAGTGAACTTGACTGAATTCTTTCTACCGGTTTACAACTCCGAGAATCTATCTCTGGGTACCAATACTATTCATTTATCACAAGGAATTTCTCTAATTTTTCTTAAGTCAAAAGTCAACCTCTAGACATTTGACTTTGACTTCCCCCAAATAGTATGTAAATAGGTTTTAAATTCCATTAAAACCAACATCTTCGCTTTCTGGGGACAAAATTATTTTTAAAACCTATAATAATTCCTCAAGTATTCTTCCCTATTTTCTTCCAATTATATGAGGCCTCCCTATACTTTGAATAATTTATTTTTAAAAATATTCCAAAATAGACAAAATCCTAGGAATTCCACAAATTCTTTCCAACGGCATTTTCGTCATTTTTAGCCTCATGCAGGTCTCTAAATCTTATTCCTATTTTTCTAAAATTTTTCTGAAATGTTCAGGCCTTAACCTACTATTTCCCATTTTTTGGGATTTTCGGGCATAATTTCTATTTTTGCCCTTATCAGTCCAAAACTTTACAAAATTACAATTTTACCCCTGGTTTGGCTTAACCTCAAAATTCACCTCATTGAGGCCTCCAACATAACTATTGGCCTACAATCATCTCTATTTCTCATTCCTAGGCCTCGAGACTTATCCAAATCTCTAAATTCCTCTTTTCTCAGTCCCAGAAAACTTTCTCTTTTGCAATTTAGTCCTAGGGAATCCCTCTATCCTTCTGGGAATCTTTGGGACCTCTGCCAAAAAGGATCTGGTAGCTTACTCATTTTAAGCTAATTTCGGTATTTCTAGGCCCAAAATTCAGGATGTGACACTTCTAAAATGCTAATACAAATACTTTGTTAGAGTATCAAATTAGGATTTCAAAATTTTGACAAAAGACGAAATTGCCTAAACAGGTTTTTTTTTAAGATAAAAGGGAAGAGAACGAAGGTGCAGATTTTAGTCTAAGTAACCCCTCCCCACTATCATGCTCTAAGTATCGTGCATCCATTATCGATGTTAAGGAGAGTGGCTGCGGAAGAAAGTTATTATTGAAGAATGGGCATTAGTTGTGAGTAACGAGCGATTTCTTATTATTAGCTGAGGGTTATAACACCATGCTAGAGTTGATTTTTGTTTGCCCCAGTGTGGTAGTTTCATCTCTATTGATGTGCTTTGCCAATCAAATAGGTTAAGTTAGTTTCTACAAATGACTGTTGTTTATTATCATGTTGGGTCAATTAACTAAGGATAAATTGATGAGTTTAGTATAGAGAATAGCAAAAATTGAAATGATAATGATAATATGAAATACGTTAGTGTGGGAAAATAGCACAATATAACTTTTGATGTTGATGGGTTTTGTGTGTTTAATTGAACTTGGTTTGGGTACTAAGGAGTAGAGGCTATTCATTTTTTTTAAAATTTTTTTCATTTTTTTGAACTATCAAAATTTGCATGGGAATGGAAAGAAATAATGGAGGCCAACTCCTTTAAATTTCTGTCATTTTATATAAAATGTATTTATGTTTTACTTGATATATTTGTGAATAGCCTCATTTATATGTTGTTTACTATACTTGTATAGTCAAATGACAACATTGATATGAAGCAAAGTAAGCATACTCATTTATGGAATTAAGTACACCTTTAATGGGATTGACTATGCTTATTTAGTTAATAATAACATTGTTGCTAAGCAAATGCAGTGCACTTGTTTATAGAGTTTATGACACTTGTGTTTCAAATTGACTACACTTATTTAGTTGATGATAACATTGTTGTGTAATGAATTATGCACACTAGTTTATGGGGTTTACTACACTTGTCTTTGGAATTGATTACACTTGCTTAGTTAATGACAGCATTGTTTTGACTTGACATATTTTCTAGCCTATAATCATTAGGTTTTGTCATGTCAATTATCACTATAGTAATCATGGTCC